GTGCTGGTCACTTCGTTGCTGTAATTATATGCTTTTAAACGCACTACTTTTCTAAAATGAATCGAGTTCACCTGCAGATGTCCCATTTGGGTAGGTTGGAAGGAATGTTGAGCGCTTGTCGAACTTTAGCATCATTCATGTATACAATCACATCTGTATCATTCAGACATGGAGCATCTCCGTAGAGGGGTTGGTTGGCCTTAAAAGGGAGGTTCTTTCATAGATTAGAGATAGGCTACCCTCCACTTACCCTCAAGAAGCTCATGAGATCAGGGGTCTTCTTCTTGGACATCTCAACGGATTTGTAGCCAGCAGCAACTCCTGAAATGAGGTTGGAAGACTCTAAGATTGTCTGCAAAGTACTAGGTAAGGATTCGTACCCCTGAGCATGTGGCTCATTCTCTCGCCGTTGATCGCTGGATTCGGGTCACAGTCTCTGTACAGATCATATGGATTCAGTCCTCCGGCCCATAGGAACTGGAAGATGTCCTCGACCATTGTGGCACAGTGACCAGTAACCTGAAGCAAGACTTTGCTGGTGGTGTCAGAAACGCTTAGAACATTTCGGACAAGTGGGCACTGAGGAAGGGCGTGGCGTTTAACAAATATCCATTTGCGGAAGTGGTACATGAGCTGAGTCGTACTGCTCCATACCTTGTGCCCACCGCAGCCAAACACTTACCAACTGCTGTTTGGAAGTGCCCACGGAAGAAAGGACATTAATAAGTGGTTCGCGAACGTCAATAAGGTATTAAAGGCGGAACCCACGATAATTTACCATCACAGATAGTGGATTAGGGGTTCGCATATAGACGACAAGGTTCTGAGTAACTCGATAGTGAAGAAAAAAAAGCAGAAAAAAACATGCCACTGCCCTAGATAGAACCCCATTTCGATCCCAGTTTGTACGTGCCCAATTAACTCCATCTCCAACACTACGCCCTCATCCGCACAGCTGATTCCCCGATAAGAACTCTACGACCGTACAAGTGACGATTTTCATGCTTTTTTCGTCCTGCAGCTTCGTTTTTCACTGAAAGCGGGCATTAGAGGCGGAGTCTGGAGGCGGAGTCACTGGAAAAAAGGAGGCGTCACTGAACGCCCCTCCCTTACAATTTTTTGCCGCAAAACCGGTACAAGGTTGTTCGTCGCGGACCACACTACCCTCCCGACGCCATATTTTCAACTTCTATACCTGATCGCGGACCGTGCCTTTAAGTTGAAGCGGACATGCCTCAGTTCTGAGTAACAGTCCAAAGGCATAATCCACGTTTATATGGGAATAAGGGGGAAGCTCCACCAGGTCGACCGGGCGCACCCACGCGAATGATGTTCTGGCCACGGCAAAAGAGCCGTCAAGCTGACAATGAGAGCGTAAGAATTGAGAGTAAGTTAGCTAATGACGCAACGGATAGCGTCATCGCTCGCTAAGTGTCAGGTGCGGGCTCTAGGCCCACATGGGTCACGATTGTCCATAATTCAGCAATTTTTTATGTTCAGGTTAATTTACCCCTTTCTCTTAGGTTGCAGTTTTGGCTAACAGAGCGGTCGAATCAACAATAGTAAGATTAAAGGCAAAAAGTTCAGAAAGAATTTTAAACCTCTCAAAATAGAAGTACGATTGGACAAGCACACCTGTTAACATGTTGGATTACTTCTTAAAGAGTCACGAAAATAGCAGAGGTATACCAGGGGTATGTGACAAGAGGATCGTAATTTGCCGCGCTGCTGGGCGTCGCGTGCGACGTCCCGCCCGCAAAGGACGATGGTTTCAGGCAGTAGATGGCGACAACATGCAATTAAGGACCGAAAACAGTAATGAGTGTCTACGATGACGGGGTCTACATGAAGTCCGGTGCTTCATTCGACAGGTTAAAACGAGTTATGAAAACGCCGCGCCCATCGCCGCGCGTGGCGGTGCGGCGAATTACGATCCTCTTTACCGTCTCCCATACCAGAGAGCCAAGCCAGGGGCCACTATGCTCGTATTGCCTACCTTTAGCTAGAAAGGCTGCGAAGAGCCATTTTGGAATCAACAATGCCGACCTATGCGAAAAACGCTTGGCCCAGCCTGAACTTGAAGGAGGAGTTTACAAACTGTTTGGTTTCCGTCCTAGAGCACGTGCGAAACGGGAACCGGACTCCTTGAATCACCCTTTTCTAGAACTTCAACCAAAAATTTTGTCAAAATGTCAAAATTAAGATCATGGACACTAAAAAACTTAAAAACACTTCATGAAACCAAATAAAAATTTATCCACTTGAACGTGCACCCGCCCTCACTGGAATGGCGTGCAGAAAACCATTCTGTAAATCCGAAACAGGCTCGACGTCAGTGCGAGCTGAACATGCCCGTGAGATACAGCCGTTTCCGCTACAGACAAAAGCTGGGGTTAGGTTTGACGCGGCGCCAGCACGTCTCACTAGGCGCAACACTTGTGGAGAACGGCTGGTGCCGCCGCCAAACCAGCTCCACGAAACCCCAGCGTCTGCCAGAGAAACAACTTTATGTCTCATTACAGATGGCAATCTTGGTTCGCCACTGATGTCGCTGAATGGAACTAGATGCATGGCGTTCAGTTAGGCGATTGCTAAGCGAAAGTCTACAGATTGTTCAGGGTTAGAAAAGCTCTGACTAGAGCGGATTTCGCATCAGTGTAGAGATTTCATTTGCTTCACTACTTCGCATTGACGAACTACTACAGTCACCTTCTTACACCTCCTTATCTCAACTTCCTCGCAAAAAATCTTGATCGCAAGGGTATGAGAGATCGACGACGATGACATATATTTCGCCGGAAACGATCATTCTTAATTCCGTTCTGAAGTTCTCACAACACTCAACTGAACACAACACCCCCCCCCTCAGCGAGCCAAGAATGACCCTCCTTTAGTGACTCGAATGCTGCCTTCTCATTGGGGATTCCTCACTGGCGCAGTGCACTCATGCGATCCTCTTGCCTGCACATCGAGCTAGCGAAAAAAGGGAGTAAAAGACACTTACAGTGCAGAGCACATACGCACATGGTACCAGTGAATACCAGTTAGGCTAGGCGATTAGACTTCCCGCTTAGCACACAAAACCAATTATCCCCTCACAACCATATGAGACAGTTCAATAAATACGCCTGATTTTTTTTACATTGCACATTACCCCCCCGTACGCCGCCACTTATGCAAGTCGCTCAATTTTTTCCCCTCATCTTTTTGACCTGTTAGGGGAAATCACACATGAGGTTCCATGGTTATATCCCAATAGGAGGAATTGATCTGGCACTCACTGCTATCAGGGTCACCACAATAATTTGGCATGTATACCCAATGGTCACTTACAATTACTGACCTCAACTGTGGGAAAGCAGAGATATGATACAGTTCGTACCTGAGTAAAGTCGCAAGAATCGATGCAACCCTTGCAACAATCCCTTCTCAAGAGTATTCCATGTCTTTTCATCGATGATTCCATGACCGTAAGCGTATCGAATTGAAGTGTCGATGTTCAACTTTTCATTCACATAACCGTTTCCGAGAGCCATTCCCTAAAGAAAGCAGTAATCGCACACACTTTGACGGAATTTCTGCGGCTTTGCCCTACCTTGAGGTTAATGGGGAACTCCTTCTGTCCATCAACGATCCTTGCCGTCAGTGTCGGCACGTACACTCCACCGTATGACTCGCCCATTATGTACGTCGCGTGATGACGGAATTGAGGGAAAGTCTGTGAGTTAGTTCATTCACACAAGTTATCCTTCAATTTATCTTCGAGAATTACCGTGAAGAATTGCTTGACAGCCTCGTAGTTCTCAAGTGACGTTTGGTCATCGTTGGTGGTGATATTCCCATCAGTGGCGTAGGAATATCCCACGCCGGCAGGAGATTCAATATATACAACTGAGGCCATCTAGAATTGAAAAAGTTCCATTTCTAAGATTTTTAGGACAACGGAGGTTGTTCCAGAGAAGGAATGCACCTACCTTATTCCAAGAATAAGGATTTTCCCGAAGACTCTTTCCGTCAGCATTTGCCACATACGGTCCCATTTCATTGAGAAGGCCGTCCAGTGATGAGCATCCTGGACCGCCATTGAACCAGAAGATTAGCGGATCGCTTGTAGGATCATTCTGAGACTCAACAAACCTGAAAAGCCAAAAGTAGCAGTGTTATTGTGGAAAGAGATCAAAGGGTTCAAAAGTCTTCATGTACAAAGGCAGCCTACCAATAATGGAGAAGGTGAGTATCGGAGACTTGGAAAAAGCCGGAGTAGTGCTTGAAGGTGAGCTCGAAGTTGACCCCAGGCAACTGCTTGATCTCCTGTGCCTGGCACAAGGCAAAAAGACAGATGAGACCAGTCCACAACATCACTCGACTGATTGGATGTGAGAAGGAGGCACTCATTGTTCGAAGAGGCGGAGCTCCAGGAGTCCGCCTTGATTGATACCCCGTCGCGGGTGGTCAGAGTTGTGAGGGCATAAAACCCTGGGGTACTTCCGATTATAAGTCAAAAATACGCTGCTCTGTGCCTAGGACGCACCACGGGAAAACAGCTGTTTCAAGGGTCTAGGTGGTGTGCGGGTAGCTAAATTGTGAAGTCCCTGAAGTACATGGGCTTGGTGATAGTCTCTAAGCCACGTGCTTTGAAAATTCTTTTTTTTTATTCCCCTTCCGTATTTCTTTGCATGGATGTTGGTATCATCGCCCATTCACGTAGTGCGCGACGTGCGGCACGTATTACTGCTTTTATCACATAGCTATCACTCACCCACCTTGCATTTGCAGGCCACAATGTCGCACAATTTCCACTGTGACAAAATGTACCTGCGCCACTGCCTGGTTTTACTTCACGATTCACAAAAGAAGTTCCACTTTCTCAACTCGATGATCACTGGAGATGAGAAGTGGGTCCTCTACGATAACCCTGTGAGGAAGCGGCAGTGGGTCGACAAAGGAGAACAGCCACAAGCCACCCCAAAGGCCGACCTTCAACCCCAAGAAGGTTCTCTGTCCTGTTGGGGTTGGATCAGAAGGAGGATGGAGTGGCTGGGGGAGGGCTGCTGGAGAAGGGACAGACGATTGACGCTTCCACATATGTTACCCAGCTGCGCAAATTGAAAGTTCACGTCGACCTTACTCGTGGATCGAATGCGGAAATCTGCTTCCACCATGACAACGCCCGACCTCACACCGCAAAGGCGACCCAGGCCGAGCTGGGAGAAGTACGGATGGGGGGCTTTTGATGGTCGCCCAGCCCCCCTACAGCCCTGACATCGCTCCTTCTGACTACTGGCTGTTCAGCCACCTGCAGCGCTCTCTGGACGGAAAAAAGTTCGAAACAAAGGATCAGGTCAGAAAGGCACTCGACGACTTCTTCAAGTCCCAGCCCGTCGTTCTGGAAGGAAGGAATCGACAAGCTGCCTGAGCGCTGGCGTCGAGGGTAGTGGATGGTGATGGGCATACACTACTATCTTCAGGTCGGTTCGCTTTTGAGGATAATTTACGCATAAAAGTGGATCAAGAACCTTATGCACTGATACAATGCGCGTCTTTATATCTCCGCCCATGTTTTGAGTCGACAAATGTACAGAACTTGCCAGAAAAGGGGAAGGAGAGCATGATGGCCTATTGGGGAACATTAAAATTTTATCGGCAAGTCGCTGTTCATAAACGAGGAGAGCCCTGTTTCACCAATCCCTCAAAATATCAGGAAAGAAATCTAATTGAGCATTGAATTTTCATTTTTCTATATTTCGCCCTGAAAAACTTCAGCTCCACCACCAGTTCCCAACAACAATGATTACCATTCCAAGGCAGGACCTTTTTAAAGATTTATTCCTTTATCTCATCTTCCGATAACGAGGCTTGTATGAGATGGAATTCTAATGTGGATCTGAATTTGGATCCTTCCTCGCTGCATGGCCAAAATTCCTCTAGAAGAGAGGCTTTGTTCTCAGTACATTGAAGCAGCTTCAGCGCTCGGGTAATGTAGTCAAAAAATGAGAGGAGATTCTCATTCATTGATTGTATTTTGCTCGTCCCTTAAACCCCTTCCATGGCTATGGCAGGGGATGACCTAGGAATGGACAGGACAGGACCAAGGGATGATCAAAGGAATGGACAGGGCAGGACCAAGGGATGAGATCTCTCCCCATTTTTTAACCATCCTGCACTGACGCTGAAGCTGCTCGGATGTTCTGAGTCGACTACCGGAAAAAGTTGTTTGTCTCGCGGTCGTTAAGAAATCTGCGATTTCAACAGAGGAGGAGCGGGTGATGGCCCAAACAGGAGCAAGAAGTGTCGCTCCGCACTTACTGTCAGATTGAAAAATGATGGTAGGAAAGAAAGAGCAGTGACGCGAACATAGGTGGGCCCAGGGAAGCTTATATATGGGCCAATAAAGTATTCAGAAAGGTCCACGATTTTCAGCGGAACTGGAATGCACATGTGCTGTGTATCTCAGAGGGTTTCATCCTTGGCCTCTCCTTCCTCATCTTCACATCCCCTTGGCATTAAAGGCCTCCACAATCTCGACTGCGGGATAGGTGGTCGCTCAGAGCCTATCAAGTCTCGGCCATCCACTGATAAAAAAATGTGTTGAACGGGTAAAGAGATCTACTGAGTCCGATGTGAAAGTATGCAGGCCTAACCAGAGGTCAAAGATCTATCGCTCCTGCGATTTTTTTAGCATGTGATGTAACCACGATTGATTGGAGTCTGATAGGTGCGGCTCGATGAAAGATCGACCGAGTGGTTAGCGTCGTCCATCTCGAAGTCTTAGCAAACCGTTTGTTATGCATTACAACGTGGACACGCTGCTGTCGCTCAGGGCAGATAAGATGGAGATGAAAAATAAGAATTTGAATCATGTGGTGGAGTTTTAATGGCTGCTAACACGAATCACTCGAACTGAGAACCAAGGAGGGTTAAAACTTGTGATGTTAATGTCGGTCAACTTTGCTGTGTGCTGATAGCTGACTATGAGTCGCACTTTC